CAGGACGCCTTCCGAACCCCCACGTCGACGTCTCTCCTCCCAGGACGCCGACTAGGCACCCAGGTCGGTGTCAGGACCCGACGCCCAAGTCGGCGTCCGGACCCCCGGACGCTGTGCAGACGCCCACGACGTCGACCAGACGTCCGGGTGGTCGTGGCGACGCCCAGCTCGGCGTCCAGCTTCCCAGGACGCCGTCCAGGCGTCCGGGACGCCAACCAGGCCTCCAGGGCGGCGTCCTCCTGCTCGGCGCCCTTGCAGTGGTCACCGTGCCCACTGCTGCAGGTCGGCTGCAACCCTCGCACATCCGACCACAAGGTTGGCTCCGCCCAAGCGAGGACGGGGCCTTACAACGCTCCCGTTGACAGTCCCTGGCCTGATGCGAGCGCGCCGTCGCCGTGCCCCACGTCACGGTGCTGCCGCAAATCGGACACGCGCCCCTCGCCTCCGCGTTTCTCGTCACGGTGCTGACGGGGATTCGATGAGCGCGGGCCACTGCTACGCCTCCCGCCGTCGTTCTTCTCTTCGCCACGCGGCTGGTTCCGCGCACCATTCGTCCCGTCCGCTTTCGCCGCGCTTGGCTCCACCGCCGCGCCCGCCTGCGTCGGATCGGCCTCCTTGACTCCAGCGGGCATTTCGCGATGCTCGCCTGCGCCTTCTTCTTGGGCTTCGTCATCGCCCTTCGCCTCGCCTTCGCGATTCATTTCCTGCGCCTTATTCGCCGTGTCGGCCTCGTCCTCTCCGTCAACATCGAGGTCTCCTTGCCGACCAGAGAAAAATTCCTCCAGGCCATGCACGCGACTCCGATCTTCGCGACGGCGGTAACCCTCTTCCGGCGAGCGATACGCTCCCATGTCCTGGCGATGTCCATGATCGCCACCAGCTCCGTGGCGCGCATCCGTCCGCCACGGGTCACTTCCCATCCTGACGGACTCGGATCCGCCTCTTCCTTCTCGCTCTGCACCTTCTCCTCGGCGATCTGGCGCAAGAGGGACCAGATCTGCGCGAAAGGCCGGCCTCCGCGGCGAGCGCTCAGGCCTCCGCGGTGACCTCTCCAACGACCGCCCGCGCTCACGTGAGCGTTCGCGCCGTGAGCGATCATCCTCACGGCGACCATAGTTCCTGCCATAACGCAGCTCGTACACATCCATGCTTGCACACGCACCCTTTCCGGTTGCTATAAAAGTTATGTAACTCTCACCTCAAGGGTCCTCCCTGAGTGGTCTGCCACCTGTCTGCACACCTGAGGCAACAATAGTCCACTATACGAAAGGATAGCAACCGGAAAGCATCAGGGCTGTGTGAGCGAGTGACTTTACCTGGCCTGGGCTCGAACCATGCATTTCTCAATGTGCGGCTCGAGCCTGGGTTGGTTCAATCACATTGGTCGCGTGGATTTCACCCTTGGTGCTCTCCTACCAACCTCGCGTCAACTTCCCTGGTTCCCCAACTACCTACCTTCGAATATTCATACACATCATTACTACACCCGAACCACACCAGAACTACACCTCAATCTAACTGGCACCTTATATGCACAACCGTGCATATTCGGTGACAGGGGCGAACATCGTCGATGGCATGTGGATTTTCAGGATGAAGCGACCGCCGGGTTCCCCGCATGTCTTCAAGGCTCGTTACGTTGCACGAGGCTTCAGTTAGCGACAGGGAGTTGACTTCTTCCAGACCTTCTCCCCGACCCCGAAGATGACCACTCTTCGGGTGCTGCTGCACGTTGCCGCTCAGTGTGACTATGAGCTTCACTCTATGGACTTCAGCACTGCGTTCTTACAGGGCAGTCTGCACGAGGAGATTTGGCTGCGCCGCCCACCTTGCTTCACTGGGTCGTTCCCTCCTAGTACCCAGTGGAGCCACCGTCGGCCAGTCTACGGTCTCCATCAGGCGCCTCGTGAGCGGCATGACACACTGAGGATGACACTTGCAGCTCTTGGGTTTGCCCCTTCCACTGCTGACCCGTCGTTGTTTCTACGCACCGACACTTCATTGCCGCCGTTCTACATCCTCGTGTACTGAGGCTCTCGCCCTTGTGCAGTCGGAGCTGCAGAAGAGACACACGTGCACACCTGGGTGAGCTGCGCACTTACCTTGGCTTGCAGATCACCCAGGGCAGAGCACGCCGCACCATCACCCTGACTCAGTCACACATGGTGCGGCAGGTCCTTCAGCACTTCGGCTTCACTTGGTCCTCGCCACTGTCCACTCCTCTGGCTACTGGTCACTCGCTCTCAGCTCCACGCTCGGACGAGTCCGTAGAGCCGAGTGGCCCGTACCCAGAGCTAGTGGGCCTCATGTACCTGATGACCTGCACTCGTCTTGACCTCGCGTACCCTCTTGGCCTTTTGGCTCGCTACGTGGCTCCTGGTCGGCACCGAAAGGTGCACATGGATGCTGCAAAGAGGGTACTGCACTACTTGTGCAGTACATCGGGCATGGGGCTTGTGCTTGGAGGGCGGAGCTCCGTTGTCCTCACTGGACACTGAGACGCTTCTTGGGTTGACGACCTGGCTACGCAGCGGTCGTGACAGGGTTACACTTTCAGCCTTGGCTGCGGCTCTGTTTCTTGGCGGTCTACCCGCTCGTCTTCTGTTCTCAGCTCAAGTTGTGAGGCTGAGATCTACGCCACAGCCATGGCTGCGCAGGAGTTACGCTGGCTCACCTACCTGCTGACCGACTTGGGATAGCGGCCTCGTTCTCGTCCAGTTCTGTATGTAGACAAGAAGGCCGCCATTGCCTTGTGTCAGGAGCACAGACTGGAGCACAGAACGAAGCACATCGCTCTGCGTTACTTCCTGGCTTGAGAGTTGCAGCAGCGTGGTCAGCTTCGTCTTGCTCACGTGGCCACTCGGGCCAAGGCATTTCCGTCTGGTGATCATCAGCGCTTTTGTACTATGTTAGGCCTTGTGCCTGTTTCGTCTCACTTGCTCACTTAGTGACTTCGATTGTACTGTGATATATATATATATACTTGCATGCTTGCTCTTGCTAGGTAGTGATCACTGTACTGTTGTTGTTGCATATATACCTCTGCATGTGAACTGGCCTTGTGGCCCTTTGCTTGTGCTCGAGTGTGTCGTGACGTTGTGATCCACCTCGAGCTTGCTTTGCTTTTCTTGACTGGTCTTGTGGCCCCTTGTTCTCCCCCACTTTGCGTATGGGGGTGTGTCAAACTATATATGTGTTAGTTCTGTCTAGGCTATAGTGGGGTAGCTCATATGGGGTACAACCCGAAGTTAGGATTAGTACTTGTACCCACATTTCATTCACTGCCATCATCCATGCTTGCTATCTTGACATATGAAAGTGGTGATAACATTAGACCCCCTCCCTATTTAACGACCCGAGGGTCTATAAATTTGGGGGGTCCATTAGCCAGGTAAATGACAGAATGTTGTATTTGTCTAGCCTGCAGCTACAGCGAGTACAACACAATTTAGGGTTTCCTATATGTATCCTGCTGCTGCTAGTCCAAAGCCCTCTTTTCTTCTCTAAACTTCTGCCTAGTATTCTGACATGCTATCAGAGCAAGTCGACCCTCCCTGGTCGATCCTGTGGGTGGGCCCACCCTATGCTTCTGCTGCTGGCCTACCTGTCACGCGTGGCGGTTTCCTGCCCGCCGCGCGCCCCGGGAGAGCGCGGCGGGATCGCTGCCCGTCGTGGCGCCCCGGGGGCCCGCGTGCTGTCCCCTCCCGTCGCCCGTCGTGGCGCCCTGGGGGCCTGCGCGTCGCTCCCCCCCTCCTGTCGCCCGCCGCTGCGCCCTAGGGGCCCGCGCGTTGCCCCCCCTCCCGTCGCCCGTCGTGGCGCCCCGGGGGTCCGCGCGTCGCCCCCTCCCGTCACCCGTTGAGGCGCCCCGGGGGCCTGCGCGTCGCCCCCTCCCGTCGCCCGTCGTGGCGCCCCGGGGGCCCGCGCGTCGCCCCCTACTGTCGCCCGTCGAGGCGCCCTAGGGACCAGCGCGCCGGCCCGCTTCCGCTCGCCCGCTACCCGCTGCTGCCCACACTCCTGCCCCGTGTTGCCTGTGTTAGGGTTTGGGGGTGGCGAGTCTGGGGGTGTGTGCTCCGTCCCCTGCTCCTCCTCCTCCTCTGTCTCTCACTGCTGCAGCTGCCGTTGAGGGGGGTGGGTGTGTGGGAGCCGTCGGAGTGGTACTAAGGGGGTGGCGTGTGCGCAGTGGTAGGGGAACAGCAGGGGGTGTATGAAATGGGTGTGGGACAGCTGGGGGAGGTTGAGTGGAGGCAGCCGTCTTGTCGTCCGCAGCGCCTGTAGTTCGGGGCTCTGCCGCTGGTAGCCCAGAGAGCCTGCTGCGCCTGTCGCCCGTGGGTCCGTTGCTCCTGCCGCTCGTCTTAGCCGCGGAGCCTGTTACTCCTGCAGTCCGCCGGTAGCCACAGTGCGCGCCGCTCCTGTTGCCAGTGTGTCTGCAGCTTCAGCCGTCGCCTCCCGTCTTCTCGCCCCCACAGTCTCTCCTCCTCACTTGCCCTCTGTGATAGCCTCTAACTTTGCTTATCATTGTGAACTATTGTTCTGCCTACTTATTGTGCTGATTACACCCCACTTTGGCTATGGGGGTGTGTCAGAATGTTATATTTGTCTAGCCTGCAGTGGGGTACTCTATAGCGAGTACAACCCAATTTAGGGTTTCCTATATGTATCCTGCTGCTGCCAGTCCAAAGCCCTCTTTTCTGTTCTAAACTTCTGCCTAGTATTCTGACAGTAAATACGGTACATCAACACACAAACTAGACATTGTATTGTTGAGTTGATACCAATCCAAACTAGTCGCCATATCCCCAACTAGTACCTATGCTTGCAAGGCTCCAATACTTGAGACGTCTCCAAAATTGTCCCCTGGTCTTAACGACCTAAGAAGGCAGGCGAGGCGAATGGCCTTGTATGCCTGTTGTCAGTGATGGCAGTTTCCACAGGCAGGCGCCCCATCCATGCTGGACGCGCTTTTTGAGGTGTCTCAGAAAGGATCTCTCCTTACACACGGCTTAGGAAGACAAGCGAATGGCCTTGTATGCCTTGAGGTTCTCCGTGATTGCAGTTTCCACGGGCAGCCGTTCCATGCTGGACGCGCCGTAGAAGCCGTGCACGCCCCGCGTGTTCTGCAGAATGTACCGCGCTTCCTGTGGCCCACTGATGGGACCTGGCGGGGTACATACAGGGATTGGCAGGGGCAAGAGAAGCAAGGTGGAAAGGGATGAGGGACGGGCCTCCATGCTGGACGCGCCCTAGAAGCCGTGCGCCCTCCGCGTGTTCTGCAGAACATACCTCGCCTCCTCTGGACCACTGATGGGACCTGGTGGGGTGCAGGAGATGGCAGGAGCACACTAAGTGGCATGAACAAGAACACGAGAAGGAAGGCGGGAGGAAGGTGGAGTGTGGTCAAGGTGGGAGGAAGGTGGAGGGAGGTCAAGGTGGGTGGGAGGATACCACCCCCACGTTGATAGCCCGTTCATTCCCCAGTTATCCCCCCAGTTGCCGCACGCACAGCAGCACTCACCGCCATGGCACAGCACTAGGACGTTGGGGTTGACCCCTCTAGCAGCATCAGCCATGCGCTGCAATCGCCCCACCGCCTCCTCCAAAGAGCACACCGTTCTCGCCCCTATGCTGCCCGCTGCCGTCAGCCCCACGTGCGCCACCACCACATCCGCCCCCCATCCCATCCCATCCCCACGTTGAAATCCCACTCATTCCCCAGTTACTTCACCAGTCACCCCACCGCACAGCACCACTCACCACCATGGCACAGCACTAGGACGTTGGGATTGACCCCTCTAGCAGCGTCAGCCATGCGCTGCACTCGCCCCACCGCCTCCTCCAAAGAGCACACCGTTCTCGCCCCTATGCTGCCCGCTGCCGTCAGCCCCATGTGCGCCACCACCACATCCGCCCCCGCGCCCGCCATGCTCCGCGCCTCCTCCTCGTTGAACGCATACGGCGTCGTGAGGAAACCCAGGAGACTAGCCGTTTTAATCATGGAGACTTCCAGCGGGTACCCCATGTTGGTCTCCTCTAGGTTGGTGCGGAAAGAGCCATCGTAGAGGCCCACTGTGGGGAAGTTTTGGACGCCCGCGAAGCCGAGGGCGGCGAGGCGGCGCAGGAAGAGAGGCATCTGGCGGAAGGGGTCCGTGGCGCACACGCCTGCTAGCACTGGCACTGACTTGATTACCTGGGGGGAGTGGCGGGAGGTGGAGGTGGGGGCGTGGGGGTGGGGGTGGGGGGAGGGGGGGGAGAAGGGGAGAGAGAAGGGGAGGGGAGGGGGGTGAGAGTTTAGGAAGAGAAGGGGCGGTCTCCTCTAGGTTGGTCCGGAAAGAGCTGTCGTAGAGGCCGACTGTGGGGAAGAGGCCGACTGTGGGGAAGAGGCCGACTGTGGGGAAGAGGCCGACTGTGGGGAAGAGGCCGACTGTGGGGGCGAGGCCGACTGTGGGGAAGAGGCCGACTGTGGGGACGAGGCCGACTGTGGGGACGAGGCCGACTGTGGGGAAGTTCTGCACTCCCATCTCCTCGCAATGCTGTCGCACTCACCAGCAGGACCTCTAAATACCATCAGATGCCGCTGCTCACCGCAATCACACTCACCGGGAGAACCTCTTTAGCCATGTCCTCCACCACAGCATTGGCATCGGCAAACGGCAGCAGCCCCGCCAGCGACCCCCTGCCAGCCATGCGGAAGCGGCCCGAGTTGTAGATCACAATGAGGTCCACGCCCCCCATCTCCTCGCACTTGGCGCTTATCCCCGTGCCCGCCCCGCCCCCTATGATCGCCCTCCCTGCCGCCACTTGGAACCGCAGGGAGTCCAGGATGGCGGTGCGGCGGTCGACCAGCCAGGGGATCGGGCTGAGGTCGAAAGCAGGGGGTGGGTTGAGAGTGGTGGGGAGGGGTGCGGAAGGGGATGGAGAGGTGGAGGTGGTTGTGATGGTGGTTGGTTCAGCGGGTGGGGGAGTAGTGGCGGGAGCAGAGGGGTCAGCGGTAGAAGCAGTGGGAAGGGAAGGAGGAGGAGGTGAGTGGGGCTGGGTGGATGGGAGGAGGGGCAGGAGAGCATTGACGAGGGCAGCAGCGAAGGCAGGGTCGTTGATGTGGTGGGGCAGGCGAATGATCTACGAGGGAGAGGGAGCGGGAGGGAGTAACAGGTGGGAGAAGGAGTGGGAGAGGGAGAGAGATAGAGTGAGTGAGAGGTTGAGGTCACTCACAGCACACACCACCCATTGCCCACTTGCCATCAGCAACACCTCTTGCTCAAGACTCCCAAACAGACCAGCATCAGCCACAGAGCCCACAAACAGAACCACACTGCACCACATTCCATCCCTCACACCCTTCACCTTACCCACCTTCCTGCTGTCTGTCTGCACCACTTGCTTCTCCAGCTCCTCGAACAGAGCAGCGTCAGCAGCAGGGTCCCAGAAGGCCACGCCCGGGGCGTCTAGGGCCGACAGCCCACCCACTCCATTGCACTCATGTGTACCGCACTCTATCTCTTTCACCCCCATCAACCCTCTACCCACCTTCCTGCTATCCGTCTGCACCACTTGCTTCTCCAGCTCTTCGAACAGAGCAGCGTCAGCAGCAGGGTCCCAAAAGGCCATGCCTGGGGCGTCTAGAGCGGACAGGCCCCCCTCAGGTATTAGTAGTGTCACGAGCGCCTCTGATTGGTTCATCTTGCCCGCAATGAACTGCGCGATCCGACGGTTCTCGTCGGCCGTTGTGCGCATGAGGGTGACCTGGGGGGTTGGTGAGTGGGAGGAGGGGGGAGAGGGATGCAGGAGAGGGGAGCGGGAGAGAGTGCACAGATACTTGCCACGCGCTCCAGAGACACTTGGCTTACAATGAAACACGAAGCACAATCATCACGTTCTTTGATCATCTCCCTTAGCTAGCCTGCATCTCACCTCACAATCATACCTGGGGGTTGTGCACGTGCGTGGTGCGCCCCTGTACTATGTTTGACAGTATTCCCTCACAATCACCAACCTCTTCCCACCACACCACCCCTCACCCATACCTCTTAGTACCCAACTGCATCACCCACACAACATTCCCTCGGAATCACGAACCGCTCCTTGAGAGTCCCCTCACAATCATACCTGTGGATTGTGCATGTGCAAGGTGCGCCCGTCAAACTCCTGAGTCGACTCAAAAGCCACATTGATAGAACTCCTTGGCAATATCTCCCTTCTCCCCTGCGCATCCCCCCACAATCACACCTGCGGGTTGTGCACGTGGAGGGTGCGCCCGTCAAACTCCTTGGGCACGGAGGAAGCTTCTCCGAAGTTGACCATGTCGAGCGCCCCCAGGCTGAGCACGAGAGGAACCTTCCTGTGGATGGCGGCATCAAACCTGGTGGGCAGGCACGGCATGGTGCCGCCCACTATGAAATCCGCCACCTCTGTTGTTGTGATGTCCAGCACAGCCTGGGAGGGGGGAGTAGTGGGAAGAGAGGGGCGTGGCTGATGTGACTCTCAGGAATGTGGTGAGCTGGCACGGCATGGTGCCGCCCACTACAATGTCCGCTTCCTCTGTTGGTGTGCTGCCCAGAACCGCTTGAAAAGTGGGGGAGAGAGGACGAAGGAGTGGGGGAAATGCTTGAAGCGACTCCCACGAAGCTGTGAATACAGGCCGTGGGCAGGGAAGGTGAGCAGGTGTGGACGGAAAGTGGGGCAATCAGGATGGGCTGAGCTGAGATGGCTCGGTGGAGTTGGTAGGTTGACAGGGCATGTGCTGCTGCTCAGCATAACCCCTCCATCTCTGCTTTGCGACGTCTCAAAACCATAACACCACGGTCTCTGCTCGATCTTAGAGAAGCAGGTCGGGAGGACAGGAAAGGGAGTACGGAGAGGGAGTACGGAGAGGGAGTACGGAGAGGGAGTACGGAGAGGGAGGAGTACGGAGAGGGAGGAGTACGGAGAGGGAGGAGTACGGAGAGGGAGTACGGAGAGGGAGTACGGAGAGGGAGTACGGAGAGGGAGTACGGAGAGGGGACCTGAGGAGCGGCGAACCCTCAGTAGAGCACGGAGTGTGTGTGAGAATGTCAATCTTTCAGGGGTTGGAAAGGGAAGGAGGAATGAGAATAAGCGAGGGCGCACCTGGATGAGCCCCGAAGCAACGTTCTCCTCCATGGCCCTGCACCCCGTGCCCGTCGCATGAAATGAAACACCACTGTCTCCACCCCCCCTGCCTGCACCTCCCTCCTCCCCCACCTCCTTTGCGACATGTGAAGACATGTGAGTCAATGTGAGAGCGCACCTGAATGAGGCCAGAGGCAACGTTCTCCTCCATGGCCCTTCCTCCCGTGCCCGTCGCATGGAACACCACTGTCTCGACCCCCCCTGCGCCACCCTCCCCTGCTCCTCCCTTGCCGCCCTTGCTCCCATTGCTGCCGAGCAGTCGCTGCACCTCCGTAACGCACCGGGTAGTGACCCCAAACATCGTGATCCCCACTGTTACTGGCGCAGAGGAAGGCAGAGCGGTGGAGGGCGGTTGGGCGGCGGGCAGGGCGCGCAGGAGCAGCATGCCGGCGAGGGCAGCGGCGGCGGAGGAGAGGGCAGCGCGGAGAATGGCGTTTAGCCCCGCCACGTCCGCCACTGACGGCAGCAGTAGCAGGTCGGACGTGCCCACGTATGGCGCCGTGTTGCCGCTGCGATGAGTGCGTGGTAGTTGGGGAGATAGGAGGCAGGGGGCGGTTCAGTGAAAAGGGTTCGATGAGCCCTGCCCGCCACATCTGCCGCGGACGGCAGCAGTAGGAGGTCGCACGTGCCCACGTACAGTGCGGTGTTGCCGCTGGTTGGTTGGTGTATGGGAGGGGGAAGAGGGTGGGGTTGGAGGGGGGTTCAGTGAAAGGAGAATGGCGTTCAGCCCCGCCACGTCCGCCACTGATGGCAGCACCAGGAGCTCCGATGTTCCCACGTATGGCGCCGTGTTGCCGCTGCGTTTTGTGACATGTGGGGATTGGATGGGTGTGGGAAAGGGTAATGAAGCGGGGGTTCAGAGGGGTGCGCCATGTCCACTACGGATGGCATTAGCGACTCGCTACAATCACACCTCGTTATAGCAACGCACCTGGCGACGGTGGAAACAATAATCTTGGGAACACCGACGGGCAGTTCCCTAAGCGCGGGCGCAATGATGGCTGTTCCGCCGCTCCCCCCGATCCCCGCCGCGCCCGCCAGCACGCCCGCGTCCCACTTCCCACGCACGAAGCGCTTCAGCGCGTCGCTCACCGCCTGCACCGCCTCTCCGCGATCCGCGGCGAGAGACGCGGCGGATTTCGCGGCGGCGCCTGGATTCGACGCGAGGGCGTCGGAGACGGAGATTGTAGGGAATGTTGTGCTTGTAACGAGAGCCGCGGATGACGGAGACGCGGAGACGTCGATTATAGAGATGGAAAATGGCGGTTCGGCCGTGGTTAAGGAGGTAAGGGACCGTTTGAGCTGCGACACGAGGAAGAGGAGCTCCTCGGATTTAGTGTCCATTGTGCCTATAACGAATACCTCGCGGGGTGCGGCCATGATTGCACGCGGGAAAGTGCTGGTCGAACGAGCTACCGCGTGTACGCTTTATGGAGTGCCTCGATGAGAGTCTGAATGCGCGGCGAGAACAAGCACCGCTATCTCCGATAGCACTTCCAGGCTTGAAGGGTGTCGATGTCGAGTCAGCGTAACGACGAATGATGAAGCTACTAAATGTTTTGAAATCTTGAAATGGGGAATGCGGAGTCTCTAGCCCACAAAGGATGTGGTGTGGAAGGTCTGAAATGTGCAAGGACCAGCAGCTGGTCTGTGGGAAAGATGGATGCGGAAAATCCAGCGAGAGGAAGAAGTCAATATAGGGCAACGGTTTCCGTCAAGATTCGGGACTTTGAAACGGTTGCCGTCAAGTACTGACTGACATCTGGCCGAGTCTTCTCTGTCAAAGCACCCAGGCAACGCTGGTGCAATCTGCAGACACGCCCCATCTTCCCGCTTGGCAGATTTTACTGACGTGGCAAGATGCAGATCCACACCAGCTCAGCATAGGAGCCTCGTTGACTTCACGAGGACAAACGAGGATAAAATTTGAACAAACAAGCCTCTTGTTCACCGAGCAATGTCAGTCTGATCTACACCCAGTAAAGAAGGTCAATTAAGATTATAGAACTGCTATTTGAACTGAACCCAACCTTGGTTTATTGATTCCCGGTCTAACCAGATCTCTATGAAAAATACCGGCCCAATTATATTCACAATAAAGAAATCACGCATCTGTTTGTTGCACTTCTTGGGCATGTGCCGCATTGGCATGCTCCAAGTCACTCATCAGCTCCTCAATAGGTGCCCCATAGTAGTCATCATCATACTCATAATCGTCTTCTCCTCCCGCCGCCCCTTCTCCACCCCCCTCCCCCTCTCCTCCCTCCCCCCAATCCTCCCCCTCATCACCATACTCATCCCCCCACCCTGCCCCCTCCACTGCGCCCTGTCCCTCCACCACATTCCCTGTCTTCCCTCTGCCATCCACCTCATCCTCATCATAGTCTTCCTCGTTAACAGATCTTCGGCCAAGATCAGTGCTCCCAGTATTCCCACTCGCATCAGCAGTATCACCACCAGCGCCACTCCAAGTATTCTCACGCCTCTGTGCCATACCCTCTTCTCCTCGCCTCTCCTGCCCTCCCTTCCCCAAGCCTCGTTCTACAATCCCCCCACCATCCCCAGCCACACTCCCCCCAGCCATGCCTGCATCAAAACCACCTGCACCAGAAGCCACCGCCCCCTTCCGACCCCCACTCCCTGCCCCAGGCAGCAGCAGGGGCAGGTGGCGGAAGAGGTCTTCGATGCCCCCGCAGCAGCTGAGGAGGTTGGTGCGTGCCAGTGCATGCAGCAGCGACTCTAGCACCAGTAGGGATGGGCGGCGATGCAGTTCCGAGCGCACTGAGGGGACGTGCATGGGGCTGGGGGGGGAAGCGCAGGGGGGAGAGGGGAAGGGACGGGGAAGGGGGAAGAAGGAAGGGACGCAGTGAGGGTCCCCAATGCCCCCGCAACAGCTGAGGAGGTTGGTGCGCGCCAGTGCATGCAGCAGTGACTCCAGCACCAGCAAGGATGGGCGGCGGTGCAGCTCTGAACGCATTGAGGGAACGTGCATGGGGCTGGGGGGGAGGGCAAAGGATGGGGAGGGGAGGAAGGGGAGGAAAGGGGTGCGGAGCAGAAAACAAGGGAGCAGCTGAGCAGGTTGGTGCGCACTAGTGCATGCAGAAGCAATTCCAGCACCAGTAGGGGCGGGCGCCGATGCAGCTCCGAGCGCATTAAGGGGACGTGCATGGGGCTGGGGGAGAAAGGGTGGGAGACAAGGGAGGAGAAGTGACCTGGAGGTGAGAAAGAGGTTGGGGGTGCACGTTAGAGCATGCAAAAAGTGTTAGAGGTTGGGACTTTGGTACAACCAGTTCGTGCTTTCGAAATTTCAAAAAAGTGTTTGCAACAACAAGGGTTATAGTATGAACAGCTCTGTAGGTGCTGGCGGAGCTCTGGGCAGAGTGAGGGCATGTGCATGGGGCAGGAAGCGAGGCTGGCAAGGGGTTTTCATACGGACGGAGGTGAAGCATTTGAGTCGATTCTCAGGTTACGTGGCCTTTGCCAGATGAGAGTTAGGTTAGAGTGAGAGACCCACCTCTGCAGCCCGTGCACGGAGGCGTTGCGGATAAGGCCAAACAATGTGAGCTTGTCGCACGCATGCAGCAGCAGGTACAGCACCGGCCAGTGCGGGGGCATGCGAGGCATGGGGATGGGGATGGCCGCTTCCCTTGCTGCCTCTACTGCCCCTGCTTCTGCTGTCACCACCCCAGGTCTTTCCACAGTAGCAGCTGTGGAACTAGAAGCAGCACAAGATGCGGCCGTGGAAGCAGCACCAGAGGCAGCATGGTGTGCAGGCATGGGAGCACCAATGGCGCATCGGAAGTGGTGGGCAAAGGCATTGAAGAGGCGGCGAGCTTCGTCTGTTAGTGACGGGGGAAGGAAGAGGGCCTGAGGATGGGAGACGGGTGAATAGGAAGAGGAAGAAGAGCGAGGGTGGGGAGGGAGAAGGAATAGGGGCAGGAAGCATGGACGGATGGGGAGCAGTTCAAACCTCCCAGAGCACAAGTGGTGCTCCATGCACTCCATAACAGAAATGAGTCAATTAAAAAAATCGGCTATCCAGAGCGTAGGATGGTTCTCCATACGCTCCATGCCAGAACAATATCTGAGGCACCGCCACAACGGATGGTAGTACAGTCAATGCTAAACCTGTCTCACTTTTGAAATTTCTCGAAATCTTCAATACGGTCTATGCTAAAAGTGCTTTCGCTCACCTCATCTTCTTCCCCAGCACCCATGTCTCCTCGTCGCCTGCCCACGTGCCCCCTGCTCACACCCAGCTGCTGCAGCACTGGCAGCCAGGGCGGTGCGGCAACAAGGGCCGAGCTGGAGGGCAGCGAGAAGGAGACAGAGAGCGAGGGGAGAGACAGGAAGACGAGAATTTGGAAGGAAAGGTGCAGGGAGGAAGAGAAGGCGAAGGCGGATCATGAGGCGCGTTGCAGCAAGTCAAATCACGGTCGCCATGGTTGCCACGCCACACTACACACAAGCAAGCGACTCGAGCCTTGACTGGTCTCGCCGACTTGAGTAGCCCCCCCCCCCCCCCCCCCCCTTTCTCAAGGCAACACACACGATTCGTCCGATGTTGACTTGACTCAACTCATGCCATCCAATGAAGGGTTGAGAGGTTTCGTGACTAATGAGTCAACCAAAAATCCACTGATCTGAGATGGTACCAGGTCTCCTACCCGACCCGACCCGACTTGCACCTATTCGACCAGCCCAATCAGTCACAAACCGATCCCACCCAAACCGACCCGACCCGACATGAATGGACCCGTCCTGGCCCAGACCGAACCGAACCGACATGAACTGAACCGACCTGAACCGAACCAGAAGAGCCCAACCCAGCCCGACCCCGACCCAAACCCGACACCGACCCGATCCAACCCTACATGTGCTGATGTGAGGCCTCCTCTGTCATGACTCATGCTCAACTGATGCATCCCATGGATGGCAGTGAGCAGAGATGGTCATAGCCACCCACCCCTTACAACGCAAATCCTTCCCCCTTGGCATCGACCATCACACTGTAAATGGCCGCTGCATACACTCATGCTCTATGGGCCATTCCACTCACTCCCCCTACTCTCACTCCCCCCCACACTCTCACTCCCCCCCGTACCCTCACTCCCCCCCGCAATCTCACTCCCACTCTCACTCCCCACTCTCGCACTCCCAAATCTCTCACTCCCCACTCTCACAATCCCTACTTTCTCACTCCTCACATTCTCACTCCCCACACTCTCACTCCCCATGCGCTCACACCCCACACTCTCACTCCCCACTTCTCACTCCCACACTCACTCCCCACACTCTTACTCCCCACGTTTTCACTCCCCAATTCTCACCCTCCCCACTCTCACTCCCCACTCTCTCACTCCTCACACCTATCAGCACGCAGGTATGTCATAGGGTGCTTCATCAGCTTCAGAATTTTTACTTCTGAGTCAAATCATGATAATCCCCACACTCTTACTCCCCATTCTCTCACTCCCCACACTCTCACCTGTCAGCACGTAGGTATGCCACCGATCGGCCCTTCAGCCCCAGCAAGCGTCGCCGCCCCACCCCTCTCCCCACCCCTCTCCCCCCTCCTTCCCCCACTCCCTTGGTGAGCCCCCTCCCTGTGCCCCCTCCTCCACCCCCTCCCCCCACCTCGTGTGTGCCGTGCATGTCCCCTCCCCCTCTCCCCCCCACCTCCACCCACACATCAGTGTGACTTCCCAGACTGGTGGGGGGAGAGACGGGGGAATGAAAGTGAATGGGGAATGAAAGGGAGAGGGGGACGAAATGGAAAAAAAGAGAGGCCCCTTCCCCACTCCCCACCACCTCCATCCACACATCAGAGCAACTGTCCAGGCTGGTGGGTGAAGGAGTGATGGGAGGGAGGGAGGGAGGGAGGGAGGGAGGGAGGGAGGGAGGGAGGGAGGGAGGGAGGGAGGGAGGGAGGGAGGGAGGGAAGGAATTGTGATTCAGGAAACGGGAGACTTGTACCTCCCACCTCTGAACCCGCCACATCCACCTCTACCGTGCCAGCCTCCTTCCATTCCATTCCATGTTTTTTGAGAATTCTCAAAAAACATACACTCCCACCTCTACATCCAAGTCTACCATGCCAGAGGCTGAATCACCGTGCCAGCCTCCTTCCATTCCCCCGCACCCCCTCCAACACGTCCATCTGCGCGACTGCCCAGGCTTGCTCCTCCCATGCTGCCGTGTGACCAATCTGCATGTCCCCCACTCACATGCACTCAGTACTTGATACAGACTGTACTGCACAGTACCGCACTGCACCACAGAGATAAGCACACGTAGGCTGCCAGGTGGGTGGGCGGGCGGGGAGTGGTGGTGCCCCATGCACGGCGGGACGGAGTGCGAGTCAACACACTGCACTGCACACACCAATGCACTCTCTCACTCGCGCACCCACTCACTCACTCACTCACTCACTCACTCACTCACTCACTATCTCATTCATTCACTCACTCACTCACATGTATGCCTGCAGGCGGGTGGGCGGGGTGTGGTGCCCCATGCGCAGAACGAGGGAGTGCGAGTCGATGCCTGCCCCCAGCTGAGGCGCGGAGGGCGTGTGGGAGAGATGAGGCCCCTCCACTGCACAGGAACTGTGGAGATGAGGGAAGGGAGGGAAGGGGGTGTGGTAGTTAGGATGGGGAGAGGGAAGGAGCAGCACGCGGGTGTGTGTCCATGGCTGCTCCCCGGTGAGGTGAGGTGCGGAGGGCGGGTGGGAGAGACGAGGACCCACCTCTGCACAGGAGGTAGACGAGGGGGAGATGTGTGCTGTTGTGAGAGTTGATGGTGGGGGATGTGTGGGCCGCGGAAGGGGAGTGGAAAAGGTGATGCTAAGTGGTGCAAAGCACGTGATGAGGGGGAGAGAGGGGATAGAGAAGAAAGAGCGGAAGGGGAAAGGAGAGGGAGGAAGGGAGAAGGAGGAAGGAAGAAGGAGGAAGGGGGGACGATTGAAGGGGGGAGGAAGGGGGGACGATTGAAGGGGGGAGGAAGGGGGGACGATTGAAGGGGGGAGGAAGGGGGGACGATTGAAGGGGGGAGGAAGGGGGGACGATTGAAGGGGGGAGGAAGGGGGGACGATTGAAGGGGGGAGGAAGGGGGGACGATTGAAGGGGGGAGGAAGGGGGGACGATTGAAGGGGGGAGGAAGGGAGGACGATTGAAGGGGGGAGGAAGGGGGGACGATTGAAGGGGGGAGGAAGGGGGGACGATTGAAGGGGGGAGGAAGGGGGGACGATTGAAGGGGGGAGTGGGAAGGAAGGAGAAGGCAGGAGGAAGGAGGAAGGGGCATGCATGCACTTGAAGATGCAGCAGCTGTCAATCAGCCACATCAAAATGGATTATGAACTCCCTCCTCAGCAGCTTCAATCAGAAACAAAACGCAGTGCAACATGCATAACAGTGCAACATGCATAACAGTGCAACATGCATAACAGTGCAACATGCATAACAGTGCAACATGCATAACAGTGCAACATGCATTACAGTGCAACATGCATAACAGTGCAACATGCATAACAGTGCAACAAACAAACAGAATAATAGCAGGGTAACAGCTTTTACACACCCAATGGATCGAAGACTGCTGCTGCTGCTCTGACCCCCATCACCACCCCTCTCATTCTCCTTCGCCACACCCCCCTCCCCTCTCTTCGCCTCCCTCACTCGCCTCCCCCTCACAGCCATGAGTGCCCCCACTGCTGCCAGGTCATCCACTCCCGGCCACTCACCCACCATCACCCCCTCACACTCCCTCACTCGCCCCCCCTCTTTCCCCTCCCCACCCCCTCCTCTCCCTCCCCCTCGCTTCCTCCTCCTTTCCTGCAACCCCCTACTACTCACCCCTCCGTCCTTCCCTCTACCGCCCGCTCTCCTCCTCCCTCTCACCGCATGCTCCTTACCCACCCTCTCCCTGGCTCTCCTCACTCCCCCCACCCGCCGCCTCACCCAAAACTCCCCTCTATCCTCCCCTCTCTCTTTCCCTTGGGTCTCCATACCTACCCTTCCGCTCCTCTCCATCCTCCCCCATTCCTCCTTGCTCCAATCTACAGCCAACCCCAGCATCAACCCCTCCTCCTCTATCCCTCTGTCAATCGCCACTCCATGACTTCTGTTCCCTCTGCCGCCACCACCGCCACCGTCACTGCTGCTGCTGCCCCAGTGCTTGCCAGTAGAATCCACGTGGGATGTGAAGCCTGCAAGCCTGTTGCTGACTGTGACTGTACCTATGGGGTGGCAAAAGTGATCAGGGCATAAGGCAGAAGCAGCGATACAAGAAGAGGTAAAGAGTTGCAGATTCTGACAGGGAGGGACGAGTCACGAGCACGTGAAAGCTCCTTGCCCTGCGTGCCTTGCCTATTCCACTCGCCCTTCTCACTCCTCCCCCCGTCAGTTTCTCCCAGGAGATCAAAGCAACCAACCCACTCCACAACTTTCATTGTAGCACCTCCTTTTCTACACTGGCCTCCGCACTCCGGCCCCTGGCCTGGCCATGAGCAGCGTGGCGCACACCCACAGCCACCTAGTATCAGCACCACTTCCTCATATTCCCTCACCTGCAGGCACCAGCAGCGCCAGTATCAGCACCACTTCCTCATATTCCCTCACCTGCTGGCACCAGCAGCGCCAGTATCAGCACCACTTCCTCATATTCCCTCACCTGCTAGCACCAGCAGCGCCAGTATCAGCACAACTTCCTTATATTTCCTCACCTGCAGGCACCAGCAGCGCCAGTATCAGCACCACTTCCTCATATTCCCTCACCTGCAGGCACCAGCAGCGCCAGTATCAGCACCACTTCCTCATATTCCCTCACCTGCAGGCACCAGCAGCGCCAGTATCAGCACCACTTCCTCATATTCCCTCACCTGCTGGCACCAGCAGCGCCAGTATCAGCACCACTTCCTCATATTCCCTCACCTGCTGGCACCAGCAGCGCCAGTATCAGCACCACTTCCTCATATTCCCTCACCTGATGGCACCAGAAGCGCCAGTATCAGCACCACTTCCTCATATTCCCTCACCTGCAGGCACCAGCAGCGCCAGTATCAGCACCACTTCCTCATATTCCCTCACCTGCTGGCACCAGCAGCGCCAGTATCAGCACCACTTCCTCATATTCCCTCACCTGCTGGCACCAGCAGCGCCAGTATCAGCACCACTTCCTCATATTCCCTCACCTGCCTGCTGCACTTGACCGGTCGTGGCCTGGCCTCCATGGGAGGGGATCAATGAGGCAGCACAGCGCACACCCACAGCCGCAGCACCTGCTAGCTAGCTAGCGCCACCCGCAGCACCACCACCAACGCCACAATTGGCACCACTGCGTCATAATGCCTCACCTGCACTTTGAGCACTCATGTCACGCAGGCTGCCAGGGGAGAAAATCAACGAGGCAGCATAGCGCACACCCACCACTACAACACCTGCTGCTTTTGAATCGACTCAAAACTAGACTTTGACCACTTGTGTCACGCAGGCTGCCAGGGGAGAAAATCAACGAGGCAGCATAGCGCACACCCACTACTACAGCACCTGCTGGCACCGCCCCCTGAACCACCCCGAGCGCCACTATTAGTATTAGCGCCACTGCCTCATGTTCCCTCACCTGTGCTTTGACGACTCATGGCCTGGCTATCATGAGCGGGAATCAATGAGGCAGCACGGCGCACACCCACAGCCGCAGCACCTGCTAGCAGTACCAGTACCACCACTGGCGCCACCAGCGCCACTATTAGGACTACTACCTTATATTCCCTCACCTGCCTGGCCGCCATGAGAGAGCATTAATGAGGCAGCACGGCGCACACCCACAGCCGCAGCACGTGCTAGCACTACCAGCAGCACCATTGCCGCCAGCACAACCACCCACCGCCGCACGCGCCTGCTCCTTCCTTCCACCACCACCCCCCTCCCTGCCCTACCAAAGCCACTGCTGCTGGTTCCAAGTGACGCCCCACCCAACCCAAAATGAAGCCCAAAACTGCTGCTGCTGCTGCTGCCACGCGCTTAGCTATGGTGGGAGGAGGGGAGAGAGGAGGAAGGGAGAGAGGAGGAGGCAGAGAGCCAGCGCCATCGGTGGCGGAGGTACCGCCACACACGCCACTCCCCCGCGTTGTTGCCCTTGCTGCTGCTGGGGGTACCGCTGGTGCTGCTGGTGCTGCTGCGTGAGGCGGCGGAGGAGGGGTAGGAGCAGGAGGGGGAGGAGGTGAGTGGCGCGGTGACAGCAGCAGCAGCAGGGAGGGGGGAGAAGCCTTGCAGTGACTGGCCGAGGACCAGTGAGGAGTGCGCTTGTTGCTGGGAGGGGAGATGGGGGGAAGAGGGAAGAGTGGCAGGGAGGAAAGGGAGAGGATGGTGACAGCAGCAACGGCAGGGAGGGGGGAGAAGCCTTGCAGTGACTGACCAGACCAGAGCAGTATGCGTTGGTTGCTGGGGGCGCAGCGCAATCGAGAGAAAGGATTGGCGACAGGGAGGAGAGGGGGGAGGGGGGGATCACGAAGGTGAGATCGGTGGGTTGTGGAGAGCAACCGTGAAGATGCGAGTGCGAGAGGGGACCGTGCTGGCAGGAGGGTAGAGAGAGACACTTTGGGAGGTATGCAAAAGGGCGTGGTGTCAGACGTCAGGAAGATGTAGTAAAAGCCCATATCATGTCGTTAAAGCCAGCAAAATGTGGTTGAAAGCCGGTAAACCTCTGTTGAAAGCCAGAAAATTATGTGTTAATAGCCCGTGAAATGCCGTGAACCACTAGTGCTATCATTGCGAGCTGGGTGGGGAAGGAGGAGGGCGGTTCTTCTCACCGAGGCTCGCCTCATGGCGAATTCGCGAACTCAATGAAGTGGCGATGACGAGGCAGGGCAGCAACGTAGGACTGCAGCACTGTAGCAGAACAGCAGGGCTGCAAAGGTGGACCCAAACGGCTCCGCGCAACTCTTTCCGCACTCCCCAGGCCTGCCGCGCTCACTACTCACGCTTGCCAGTGCGCACTTGCGCCTGCCCGCGCTCACTTGCGCCTGCGCGCGCTCACTTGCGCATGAACACCTTCCCCCCGACGATCTTGTGCGCGGGCTTTCTCTTGATCATGCGCATCCACGCAAACCCCGACCCGCACGCGGGGCACTTCATGTCCCCCGCCGTGAAATCCTCCGCAATGCGCTCTACGAAACACTTAACTAATGCCCCTTTGCCGCCCTTGCGGTACCGGTATAGCTGCTGCTGGCACTTAGCGCAGAAGATCTTCACGGTCTTGGTCGGCCCGCTCGCGGGGGGAGGTTTCGATTCGTCCTCGTTAGAATCTTCCTCGCTAGCGCGATGGAAGGATTTTGCCGCACTTGCCGTTACGCTCGCTTCGTTTAGACGACGAGTCGCGATCAATTCAGCGCGCGAATGCGTGAACAGAGTAAGATTACTGAAACTGGACCTGGACGAACGGAGGCAATTAAGACTACTATGTGCACTTAGTAGCAAAGTACGCGTGCCAAGAGTAACACAGGCGATCAAATCGCTCGCGATGGAAGCTACAGGAAAGGAAGAATTCAGACGACGCGCAGAAGGAAACGCAGGCAGCGGCACGAACACGCTGGAGCAGGGGACGCGCGAAGCCAGAGGCGCGGCGCGAGCGATCATTTCGCGGAGGGATACAGTGCGGTGGCGTGCGGTGCTACGGAATTGTTGATCAAGCAGGCAGGCGCAACAATATACTACCGTAAAGTGCCACCTATAGGACCCGCCGGTAAGAGGGTCCCCCGGGACTCTTGAATGGGTAGGGGGACTCTTATTGTGGCAGGTTTTGTGAGGACCCCCCCTTTGTAGCTAATCATTATAAGACCCCCCCCTTTCCATATAAGGCCCTATTGAGTTTGGTGCAGTTAACATTGTTATCGTTGTTACCTACCGTACTACATACACATCTCAACACCTAGTGGTCACTACAACATTGTTAACATTGTTATCGTTGTTATCGTTGTTACCTACCTTTTGCCCCGCACCGTCAAGAGGATGTGCGGTGCGGGGCAAACGCCGTTCAGTCCGCCCCGTGCTCTGATTTTCGCCGCGTGTCATTCCCGATGACGCGCACGTGGGGCACCAAGCTAAAGATTCTCGCGCGAAAAAATATAAGACCCCCCCCCCCCCCCCCCCACCCCCCCCCCCCCTCCTACCGAGCTTGTACATGGTAAATCCATTAATGTTAATAGACAAATAAGTGTACCCCGGGTCTTAAAAAATTGCAACCGCCATAATGTCCACCCTAGCATTTTTTCCAGCATTTGTAGAGAGTCCCCCGGGTCCTATAGGTGGCACTTTACGGGTACTTGGGCATTTGGTTCCAGTCCAGTTCTGCTATCTGCAACATCTCTTGTGGTGGGGACTAGAGATATGGGAGCATAGGAGAGGCGCATTGTGACTTTCCGAGGGATGGACCAGCATGCCAGCGAGAAATTCGAGCCGAGTTGATCTGGTAACCTGCGAGCCTCGTCGCAGTGCCACTGGGCTAGGGTTGAGGGTAACACGCTGGAGATCTGAGTACGGAAGTGGACAGGGCGATAGCGCGAAGTCACTCCTGTTTTCGTTCGACCGGAAACACCCTATTGTTACCCGAAGACAACCGCGTAGCTTTCACGAGCCTACCACAACTATTTTCGCAGCTTTTGTTATCCAACCCAACAGGCAACATCCAATCTCCGCCATTTCTATCTCACACCACACCATGCCGCAGACCTAAAATAGCCTCCTTGGCCAGTCTTTAGGTACCAGGGCTCGTCGCTCTACATCTCTCAGTGCTGCTTTCATTGCGGTCGGGCCGCGATTCGCGGTTCGAAGCTGCAGGACTATCTCAAGACGTGCAAAATGCGAAATGCGCTGTAACCCTTACTATCGTGCTCCTCTCCACCCCATTCAGTCGCCATTCTCTCTCGCAACAATCAGTCCCTCGCGACATTTCCTCAGGAGTTTCATTGCCACATCCATCCCTCCCACCGCGCGTTCGTAAAACCCTCCTTCCGCTGGTCTCGTAGTCTCGTCATTTCAACCCTTACAAGTTACGTCTCGTCAACTTCCGTGTATCAGCACGCGCAATGGCTGGATCCCCAGTTTCCTCCTCTTCTTCCTCCTCCTCCTCCTCTCCCTCCTTCCTCTCCTCCCGCCTCCTAGGCACGATCATCCGCGTTACATGCCTCCTCGCTTGCCTCGCCATCATTGCCTTCCTCAGCGTGAGCTACTGGGCCCTGAAGGCCACTAATCTCACGCCACGTGTCGAGGAGTTTAGGGACCACTGGGACTCGTGCGTGAATCAGCCCATGGGCCACTGGGTCAAGCTCGCCGTGCCGTCGTCGCATCGCATGCCGTGCTCGCACATAGTTAAAGCGGCGATTAAGAGAGGGGAGGCCGGGGTGCAGCGAGGCCGGGTGCTGCATCGGCTGCAGCTCAAGGAGCATCCGGGAAGGGACGGCTGCGCGGTAAAATACGACGCTGACGTGGACCCCTGGGATATGCATCCTGTGCCACGTGGCAAATTTTCCTACTCCTCCTGCCGCGTGGAGTGGATCATCTACTCTTCTGACTGCGGACTCAGCATGGTTCGAATGGCGGATTTCGCGCACATGGCGGCCATTCCGTTCGCCGTGGTGGGGGTGGGTGTGCCCTGGAGAGGCCAGGGCGGCCGCATGCGGACTATCCGCGACTACCTCCGCTCGCTGCCGCCTGACCGCATTGTCATTTCCACCGACGCCGACGACGCCTTCCTCATGCCAGGCCCCCACTGCCGCCCGGAGAATCTCGTAGAGGCGTTCCTCTCCCTCAATGCGCCCGTGGCATTCGGAGGGGAGATCTTCTGCTACCCGGACTGGCGGAAAATCGAGGTGTTTTACCCTCGGAAAATCAACGAGACGAAGAACTGGTTTCTGAACTCCGGAGCCTACGTGGGATACGCGTGGGCCCTGGCTAAGATCATAGACGCGACATACGTGGGTGACTGCATGCAAGACCAGCGTGCATACACCCTCGGGTTTATCGGCCAGCAGTACCTCTTCAGGCACCTCCCCCGCGTGCCCTACCCTGAAGCCAGCGACTTCGAATCCGCCCTCAGCAGCATGGGTAGCGTCACTGCGGCTGTGGCCGCCCAGGAAAATTTCGCCGACTCGCCGTTCCGCAAGCCGTGGCGCAACCCGCGCCCCGTGCGGTACAACACGACCATGTCGCCGTTCCACCGGCTGCCGCCCGCGTC